AGCACATTTCCCACTGCAGTTGTCTTACTATGCTATAAGACATTGGAACTACACACCCTCAACTGTGCATTGGCGTCCTTTCTGTACCCTCTACCATTCTTCTCTCAAAACGGCATTTTCAGTATGTATGCAGCCTGTGACACTGGAAGGTCTGGACAGCTGGAGCAAGCACATTTCATAATGGTAAACACCCAGGTGGGCGTGGTCTGTCAGACTCCGGATCCACCTCTTCACAGCCATTTTAGTGTTTTGTTTCAAAACACAGCTGCAGTTGAAGGTAAGATTTTTGTTGTTGTTGTTGTTGTTGTTAAATGAAATAACTTTTGAGACATAATGAATGAATATTGCGTTCTGACTTCCTCCTCCTGGCTTGCTCAGCCTGCTTCCTTATGTAACTCAGGACCACCGGCTCAGGCATGGAATCATGCAGAGTGGACTGGGTCCTCCCACATAAATAATTAGTTAAGAAAATGCCCCCCCCACACATGCTCATGGGCCAGTCTTATGGAGGCCAATTCTCAGTTGAGATTTCCTCTTCCCAGATGACCCCAGTTCATGCCAAGTTGACAAACCAACAAACAAACATGTATGCTGAGGACATCTTCACAATCATACTTAGTTTACCATTGTGTTTGTAAGAGAAGAACATTTCACCACCCTCTTCCAAGACAAAAATTCTTGAAAAAATACTCAGTGCATGTTGCCCTATCTCCCATCCCTCCATTCACACTGCAGTATGTGCTAAGCCAACACTCCATCACTGAGCTAACCCCCATCACCTTGCTTCCCAATTTTTTTTGTTTGTTTTTCAACACATTCCTATTAAGTTTTGCAGTCCTCTGCCTGTCAGTCAACAGCATCATGTGGTCTAATGTGGTCATTAGTCATCAGTGCTCATCTTACTGTATCAGTCGATAGTGTTGCTGCGGGGATCCTGCTGTTGGGAGAGTTCTTTAATGACTTCTAGGACACCGTGCAAACTGACTTCGCTCCTTCACTACTGCTCCGTTCTGTCACCTCTGCTGCCCTCTCCTTCTGAAACTTTTGACCTTGGAAAGCCCTGATACCCTCTTCTCTACATGCTGTTTGATGACATCCTACAGTCTCTATGTCCACACACTGATGACAAAGAAGGGCAGCTCGAGCCTTGACTTTTACATTCTCTGCAGATCCTTCTTCCCATTAGTCCTGCGACAGACCACCCCACCTTTGTGCTTTGTTTATCTGAGATATTAACATGTCAAGTGTAGCTACTGAAAATGGAACTTAAACCCTCAGCTGCTCACTTAGCATTTCCATTTGGATGACTACTAGGTGTATTAGTCCAACACACCCCAGAAAGAACCTCAATCTTTCTCATATACTTAAAACTTATTTATACTGTATACATAGATGTACTATACATACAAATATATGTTTGTATTATATACTATACAAATACACATACTCATTCTTATGGTTTGCTCTATTAATTTTGAACTGATTTGTCAGCCCCCATAATCACATAACCCATAATAAAGAATCCCTTAACCTGTATCTCTTATAGGTTGACCCCTGGCCAGTATAGATTCAGTAACAGTCATAGTCAGAGGAATAGAATCTTAAAAACAAAACAAAACAAAACAAAACAAAAAAAAAACAGTTTTCGGAACTGTTTCTGGGGTTTCTAGAATTGGTTAAGTAGTCAGGCTACATTTTTTAAAGATTCATTTTGTTTGCTTTTTTAAAATATATATATGTATGGAGGTGTGCTGTGCATGTGAGTACAAGTGCCCACAGAGGCCAGAAAGAAGATCCCAATCCCTGGGAGCTGAAGTTACAGGTAGCAGTATGAGAACCAAACTCAAGTCTCTGCAGGAGTAGTATGTGCTCTTAACTACTGAACCATCTTTCTAGCCCCTAGTCTGGCTATATTTAAAATCATGAATGAATCAATAAATAAACTAGTGGTCATAGCATGAAGTGGTTATAGAGACAACAAAACATCACCAATAACTCTCCTAAACAACTACTGTATTAGTTTTCTGGGATTGTCATAGCAAACTATAGAAACAAAGAGTCTAAAACAGCAGAGACATTCTCTCACTATTGGTGTTGTCAAAGTCTAATATCAAGGTACTAGCAGAGTCATGTTCTCTTGGGGGCCCAGGGGGATGTCCCTTCTTTGGCTCCTCCTTGTGTTTGATGGCTTCCAGAAATCCTGAGTATTCCTTAGCCTATAGGAACATCGATCTCTTCCTCTGTCATGAGTGGTTTTCTTCTCTGGGTGTCAATGCCCAAGTTACTCTCTTCTTAGAAGGACACCACCAGTATGGTCTTTCCTTGTCTGGTATCAACTCACATCCATTTACAGTGCATCTGTATCCATGTATTTACTATTTTGCATCATTTTCGTAGAACTCAGAAGTATACTGAAGCTTGTTGCTCTTAACTGCACAGGGGAAGAAAAAGGACAAATGAGCTCAGGGATTCAAGTTCCTATCTTGGGTGTGACATTTATGACCTAAAAGCCAACATCTGGCCTGAAAGAGCTCTTGCCACCTGTAGCCAGAAAGCTAGGATTCTGAAAAACACACCCAGAATCTCATCTTGCAAGTGGCTGAATTTCAGGGTGAACTGAACTCTGAATCTTTCCAGGAATATCTGGTAAGGAGAGGGCACTCTCTGAGAAGGAATGGAAACATGAAAACTGGAGAGGAGATGTGTAAGGTCTCATTCAAGATGGGGGCATTTAACCACTGCATTCTAACAGAGAAGCTCTTAAAATCTTCTTTGCAGCAGACTCAGTTCCTCTACTGCTCATGTGATAGATCCTAAATGTTTGGATCTTGATATAAACCAAGAACTCATGTGTAGAAGAGCTGGTCCTCAGCAGATGGCATTGATGAGAAGCAGGAGAAGTTTTAGGCAGTAGGGCAATCTTGGAGAAAGTCAAATCACTGAGAGCATTCTGTTGAAAAGGCATGACCTCTCCCTTTTCTTCCTCTCTCCCTCCTTCTCTTCCCTGGGCTACGATGTGAGCGGTTTTGCTCTGGTCCACACACTCCACCTCATTGTTCCTATTCACCTACAAGGTCAAGCTAATAAAGCCGAGCAACCATGGACTGAAACCTCCGCACCACGGAGCTGGAAGAAACCACTTCCTTTGTTTATTGTAGGTACTTGTCCCAGTGGCATCAGCTAACACAATCCCCTAAGGAGGGGGCTCTGCTTTACCTGAAAAGTGTGCTGTGGGCTCCCCCGAGGCAGATGCTCTACGAGGGCCTGTGGATTCTCTCCACACCCTCTGTTTGCTGGAGATCAACAACTACATTCCAGGGGAATGCGTGAGCAACAACATGGGGCTCACAAGGAGGTACACCCCACGGCAGAAGAGCGGCACTGTTTTGGGTTGCACTGTATATCAAGCCTCATACATGCCAGGTTAGCACTGTACCACCGCACTTGCAGAAATACGTGACTTTTTCCACGTTAGGTACATAAATCTAGAGATTATGTATAGGAATGCATCTAAGGACATGGGATGACTGTGGCAGTAACACATACTAGATCAGACCAAATACAGCTATAGATGACCTAGTTACAGGCTCTGGGTTGCAACTAGCTGCGGCAGCATGCTTTTATTCCTTCATTTGAATGTACTACACAAAAAGCCCACATAGGCTTAGTCCCAGCATTGGTTAACAATATTTTTGTATTGATTCTAAATGTCATTTCTTTGTTGATGTTTCTGCTGATTTTTAGGGGTTTAGCATGTGTATACAGTGAAATATGATCATATCCACCCCACCTCATTTTTCCCAACCAGCTCCCTCATGTCCCAACTTCATGTCCTCTTTTTCTCTATCTTCCCCTCCCTCCACTCCTCCTTCTCCTCCCCCTCCTTCTTCTTCATAACTCACTAAGTCCATTTAGTGCTTCTCGTGTGTGTGCGTGAGTACGGGCCCTCCACCAGAGCATGGGCAACCTATCAGGGGCTACAACTCAAAAAAGAATGACTGTCCTTCCCCTAGCAGCTATCAACTACCACCCAAAGCTCCTCAGTTGGAAGTAGGGTCCTCTGAGCTCCCCACCATCTGCATCTGCCCTGGAATTTCTAATGATGTGAGCTTGTGAGGATCTTATGTGGATAATCATAACTGCTGTCGGTTCATGGGTGTTACAACTATGTCATATCTGGTAGAAGACTTCACAACACCACCACTGCCAACCTCCACCTCTTACATTCTTACCACTTTCTCTTCGGAGATGTTCCCTGAGACTTACTGTGGGGTGGGGGTGGAGGGGCTAATGATAAGATGTCACATTTAAGGCCAAACACTCAGAGTCACTGATGGCTTTAAATTCTATATTTGGGGCTTGATAGGACACCATGTTGCATGTACCAGAAGTCTGCTGGTAGTAATATATTGGAAACGTGATTCAGGACAATTTGGTATTTCATTGGTGGAAGGACTGGTCTCCAAAGACCTGACCACAGCTTCTTATGTGAACCTTTGTAGGAATGCTGTCATCAGAGGTTGTCTCAAAAGTCTTTGTTCAGCAATGAAACATCTCTCAAGTTTCAGAAGTTGTGAACAAGGATGCATATGGTCAAACAGAACACAAGAGAAAAGATTTTTGTGGAAAGTTTTCTTTTATTAGGAAATTTGGAAGATATTACACAAGAACTATAAATGAAAAGGAGAAAATACGAGGTACAGGGAAAGGAGGGGGAAAGACCAAACAAAGGGAAAACTGGAGGCAGAGAACAGCCATAGAGTCAAACACCAGGATCTCATTGGGGAGGGAGTCAGAGGGTAGAGAGTGACATGGGACCTAGGCTCAGTAAATGTTTCCCCCTGAGAAGGCTCCTACCAATTTGGATAGAAACTCTTCCGATGGAAAGGCTTGAAACACCAAAGACAGGAGAAGTCCATGACCAGAAGGAGATGGAAGAACAGACAGCCAAGGAAAGAGTAACAACCGCTAGACCCAGAAGCAACGATTCTGGAAGGATCCTAGCAGCAGCACTGCTTCTTGCAGCCACACTTCTGCTGGCAGCAGCACTTCTGCTGGCAACAGCCCTTCCCACAGCCACAGCCACAGCCACAGGAGCCACAGCCACAGGAGCGGCAGCAGGTGCGGCGGCAGCAGCAGACCACAGGGGTGCAGCAGCCACAGCAGCCACAGCAGCGACCACAGCCACAGCCACAACCACCACAGCCACAGCCACCACAGCCACAGCCACAGCCACCACAACCACAGCAGCCACCACAACAGCCACAACAGCCAACCCGGTAGCACCTGCAGGTGGTGCAGCTGTTGCAGCTGTTGCAGCCCCCACAGCCTCCACAACCTCCACAGCCACAGCCACCACAGCCACCACAGCCACCGCAGCTGCCACAGCCACCACAGCCACCGCAGCTGCCACAGCCACCACAGCCACCACAACCCATGTTGTCAGTAGAGAGGACTCAGGTACAGTGAGGAGAGAGACTCAAGAGAGGAGAGGGAGATGTGATGCCTCCTTCTGCTGAGGGAGCCCCTTAAGTACCATCTTGGGGAAGGGGAAAGGGAAGAATGGAGGCCACATGACCTGAGGTCACTTCCTTGTGGAACAGCTGCTGTTTTCACAGCAGGGTCATCCAAGGTTCTCCTTGTTTACATCCCATGCTCTTCACATGACACAGCACACTTACTAGCAGTGACTTCTCCTTTGTGCACCCGTGTTAGAAGCAAGTCAGGAGATGCTGATGTGGAGGAGGGGCGTTCATTTTCTCAGCAGCACACTGCATCTTTCCGATTTTGAGGGACAATCCAGTCACTGGCAGCCATTTCCTGTTCCTCCTCAGTGTTGGTTTTTTTTTTTTTCCCCATCATCCGTTTGAAATCTCCCTGCTTTAACAAGAACTCTCATAGGGAAATAGCAACTAGGTCTGTCTACATGGAACACAGCATGTTTTAAAAGTTCTCGTGTCTTCTACATCATTTTACTTTTCTTCTCATCAAAGAGAACTTTCTAGAACTTCCCCATGTTGAGAAATGCTCCTGTATATTTGTATGAAGAAGAGACGTTTTCACTGCCTCTTGGTAGGTGAACAGCCCATGAGCCTCACTATGACCCAAGCCATATTCTGATCCTCCCAAGTAAATTCAATTGCACCCTGATGTAAGTTGCTCCCCTAAGCTCTTCTCCATGCCCTGGTGTGCTACAGTAATAATCATGCTGCTTAGAAAAAGACCATATAGCCATTCTTCTGGAAGCCCGGGTCAGGCTAGTTAGCATCAATGTGTTTTATACAGGTGAATTTCTAGCCCACAATTAAAGACAAAAGTTAATTCCTAATTCAATGAGGAAGACAGCATAAGTTACATCATTATAATATGGATGGTTATAAAGGTAGAGTCCTACATTTAAACATGTCATCAAACCTGAGTGCCCCGTAGATAAATCACACATTAATGCTTCATATGCAGAGGTCATGTCACTGAGGCAGCCCCAGCTGACTCCAATGCTTGGAAAGAAGACAACGGTGATGGCACTTGTTAGTGACCCTTGAATCTGGTCTTGTTTTCTCTTTCCCGCTCCAGTGGCAAGCTCTCTGAAGGCAAGGTCAATGCCTCACCTTGCCTGGTGGATACCTTAGAAGCCCACAGATCATCTGGCCTAGGGGATTCCTGAGGATGCCTGTGTCTGTAAGCCCTGCCCACAGCTCACAGAAGAACATGCTTTGAGCACTGAGAGGGAAAATGGAAAGCTACCCATTACCTGGATGACCTTCTCAGGTCCCTGGAGCCCAGAATTCTTTTGATTCATACTGGAGAGTAGTTTCAGAAAGAGTAAACATAAATGAAATATTCAGAAGTCAAGGATGTCTGAGAAGAGAGATAAATAATACTGGTGAGATTCTCACATGTGCAGGAAGTCCAGTGACAGTAAGGAAGTGGTCACATGTTCCCTGCTGGACTCCTCAGCATTGGTACATAAGGGGCTCCCCGAGCAGAAGGAGGCATCACATCTCCCTCTCCTCTCCTGAGTCTCTCTCCTCACTGCACCTGAATCCTCTCTACTGACACCATGGGTTGCTGTGGCTGTGGAGGTTGTGGTGGCTGTGGCTGCGGCGGCTGTGGCTGCGGCTGTGGTGGCTGTGGCTGCGGTGGCTGTGGTGGCTGTGGCTGTGGCGGCTGTGGCTGTGGTGGCTGTGGCTGTGGTGGCTGTGGTTGTGGTGGCTGTGGCTGTGGTGGCTGTGGCTGTGGCGGCTGTGGCTGCTGTGGCTGCTGTGGCTGCTGCACCCCTGTGGTCTGCTGCTGCCGCCGCACCTGCTGCAGCTCCTGTGGCTGTGGCTCCTGTGGCTGTGGCTGTGGGAAGGGCTGTTGCCAGCAGAAGTGCTGCTGCCAGCAGAAGTGTGGCTGTAAGAAGTGCTGCTGCTAAGACGGCTGCTGGCCTCTGAGTTTCTGCTGTAGCTAACTGATAGAGGTGAGTCTGTCTGCCTGCCTGTCTGTCTGTCTGTCTGTCTGCCTGCTCCTGTTGGGATTGTGAGTCACCAGCATGAATGGAGCTTATTGCCATTGCAACCTGGCATTTCTATAGTTGCGATCATCCTGCCAACACTTGATGGTCACCAAGCAAACGAACAAATCCAAGGTCTTCTCTGTCAGTTACCATTCAGTCATGACTGTGGCAGACACAGTCCAGGTAGGTCATGCTGTGACTTCCTACAATGCTTTTAATTCTGTGCCAATGACTTGTTTCTCCTTTGTATCGCCATATCTGTAATCACAAAGCTACTCTTCATAATAAACTTCAGTAAATCCATCTCAAACAGCGACTCCTGTGTGTCTCATTTGCTTTCCAGTCTCTAAACTGTCTTTCCAGGGGGTGAAACAATCTCAACAGACACCACAGTGCTAGATGTGCAAAAGCAGTAGAGAGCCAGAGACAAGATGGAGTGATGCACACAGACAGGTGTGATGCTGATCCTAGGGGAGGTCTCCTGATGGTTGGCCCTTGCAGTGAGTCAGGCCCCAGCTCAGAATCCTCCTTTTCATCTCACCTACTGGCCATGATCTGGGCAGCTTTGCTCTTCCAGGAGATCCCTGCCAGAGCATGCTGCCTCACCACGGGCCTGAAGATGCTGGGCCAAACCACTGTGATGCTTGTTCTCTGGGCCAGCTTGCCTGCATTTAGATTGGCCTGGGAGAGGGATGCGGTAAACTCTGGATGTGTCTGTGGGGATGTTTGCAGAGATGATGTGCAGGGTTTTGGGGGAGAAGAGTCACCCTAAATGTGAGTGGAACCATCCCGTGGGCGTGGGGTCCAGATGGAATAAAAGGGAAAAAGAAGAAGGCAGAGTGCCGCCATTTTCCTTTCTCTGCTTCCATCGAGTCCCTGGGAGTGGCTGCTCAGATCAGAGGTGGTCATTTTCTCATAATCTCCCATCCCAGAAGGCAAGGTCAAGTGTTAGCAGACTTGGATACCTCTCTGTCTTCACAGGGTCTGCCTGGTGCTCACTTCTGTACACTCCTTTCTTCCCCTACCGAGCACCTCAGTCGTGATGAATTTCAACCTCCCTGTCTTCGTTAGGGTTGTCACTGCTGTGAGCAGACACGATGGCCAGAGCAACATGGGGAGGGGAAGATTTGTTCAGCTTCCACTTCCATGTCACAGTTCATCCCTGGAGGAAGCCAGGCCAGGAACTCAAACAGGCAAGAGCTGATGCAGAGGCCATCGAGGGATGCTTACTGCCTTGCTCCCCGTGGCTTGCTCAGCCTGCTTTCTCATAACACCCAGGAACACCAGCCCAGGGACGGCTCCACCCACAATGGGCTGGGCCCTGCCCCATCAATCATTAATTAAGAAAATACTCTACATGCTTGCCTGACAGCCTGATCTCATGGAGGCATTTTCTCAGTTGAGGTTCCTGCCTCTCAGATGACTCCAGCTTGTGTCAAGTTCACAAAAAAAAATTATCCAGCACCACCTTAGTGACCTTATGTTGACTTAGTTGTCTTTTGTAGTTGCTGTAAAGATGCTATCTCCAGATAACATCTACTTTTTGAGGTCTTCAGAGTTACATCTTCAGTATATAGATGATTGGGCCCCATTCAGCCCCATAGCAGAAGAGTAACAAAGTAGAGACTCTGCATGCTTCATCCTTCATTCAGGTAATTTCCACGGTGACCTGTGTTCAGTCTAACATGCCCTTTGCTTTTGTTTATTTTGTTTCTAGTAGCCATTATATATTTGTACTTAAACCTTTTTTTTTTTTCAGTAAAATGGTATTCTGCAAAGAGGACCCAGCACCATGTCTGACAAAGACGTGTTCATTAAATGCTGTGCTACACCGTCTTGTAAATTTTGAGTATCCCTTCCAGGTAGTCAGATGCCCCTCTGTAAAGGTAGCATTGGCCACACAAGTTCTCCTTGTCCACCTCTGAGAACTAGCTCTTAGAGACACCTGTAGAACCCACTGGTATCTTTTGTTTGCAAATTGCACCATCACACTCCCTCACTCTGCCCTTCAGCCTGACTGGCTGAGTTTTCTCTCCTGCTGCTCCCTGCCATGTGACCCTCTTCTTGGTGTGCAAGCACTTCATCTCTCCAGAATTCTGAGTAAAATAAACCTTTGTCGTTTCCCTCAGCTTTTCCTCTTTCCTCTTGTGACCACATTTGACATCTGTTTTAAGAATAAAACAACGTAGGTAGATGGGACAGAGCAGGGTAAGGTGTTAGTTAACCAAAACTAAGGGTGTATAGAAGTCTTAGGGAAATCTCCTTGTTTGTAAGCTAGTCAGCCTACAATATGAAAATGGGAGCTGTATTAGAGGTGTCTCCATTGGTGGACAACAGTGCTTTCAGAAGACATCTTTTATTTGAAGTAATTCTCAGTACCAGGCATGGATTTACCTCCCTATTGGTCAGGGAGACCCCAAGGAACCCAAAATAATATAGGCCATTACCGTTCTTCTTGGTCGCCCATCATAACAAAATTCAACACCTTTTTCCTTAAGACACCACCCCCCTTGACTGTAGAACATTGAGAAGCCAATCTCAAATGAAACTCTCAAACTAAAATCTCAAACCAGGTAATTCTTTCCTTGGTTGCTAATTTTCATAGGAAGTACTAAGCAATTCGATGGGGGGGGGGGGAGACATTAATGATCTTGCCCTGAGATAAACTGTGCGTGCTGCAATACCAACTTGGCACAAAAGTTGTGCCCGCTAGTGTAACGGTGGCACAATTGTTAAGGAGATAACCAATCATATTCTGCTTGAATTTGAGGACTTCTTCACAGGAAGGATTTCGTATCTGATACTATAAACCTAGTCGAAAGTCTTATGACTGGGGAGAGCATAGGCCCTAGGGGAGAAACTACTTGTGATAGTCAGCTAAATGCCATATTGTCAAATTACCTTCTTAATAGTTTCCTTTCTACCCACAGATTTAGTCTGCTC